CTATCACCCGTTTAATCTCTGTTACCATTTCATGACTATTGCGTCTTCTGGATGAGCAGTCAGTAAGGGAATCGTGGCAACTGCACATACCACTACTTAAACCTGGAATTTCAATCCAAAGGATCCTTTAATGCTTGTTAACACCTTTAACTTGTTAATCTGATTTGTCTTTAAGCTTTCTGTAGCATATAGCATGTTTTCCCCACTGTTATGACAATCTTTCTGTGTTCTTTCTACCTGGTAAAGAATGCATTCTGCCCAATTATGTTAGTATTGTCCTACCAATTACATTAGTTTCTGAATTTAAAACAAGATATTCAGTTTTCACTATGTATTATTTTTAGCTTCTGCCTTGTTGTATGCATGCTTGGGTTTTCCATTTCTCAGTCCCATTTAAATAGGATTCTGTGCTTATTGCTGCCTCTGTTATCTGAGGTTTCAGGTTTCTGTGCTATCTTTTGCTTAAGAATATGGCGTTTTTAAGATTGTGTGTAACTCCAGATTGCTTATTTTTATTTAACTATTGGCTATCCCTAGCAGTTTAATCAAAAAGCACTCTTTGAACCTTCTCAGTATCAACAGCCTTTTAAATCTAGATGAGACCTGCCCATCTCTGTAAGGTTCCCTTCATTCCAGAAGTTGAGAGATGGAGTTGACACAGGCACTGGAGATGTTTCCACATTGGAGTTAAGATCTGCAGCTTCTTTTTGCAGTAAACAACCTCTTCAGATGAGCTGCTCTTCTAGAATGTATTTTGTACAAATTCAAAAATACTATATCTTAATGGAGTTGTTTTTGTACCTCTGTCCATGGAAAACTGAGGAAGAGAACACCAAATGCAAACCTCAGATCTCTGCCAGATCAACAAGACCTCAGCTTCTTTATCAAGAACATCTCTGTGATACCAGCACATGGAAGTAGTCAGCTATTTGCTGCTGTCTTTTTATTCTTTTGGATACAAAACATTGTAGTTCAGGCATATAATACACAAACAGAAAAGTCAAATCTTAAGCTGCTGTAGTCGTTCTCCATTTTTTTCCTTCACACTGGATTCTTCATCTGGCATTTCATCCTTGACTCCCAAGAGATTGTGAACCCTTATTATTGTGAATGCAAACCTTCTCTTGTCTTTTGTACTGTCCAGAAGGAGTCAAGGGATATTCAGGTCCTGTATCCACGGACAGCAGCTTGAAACCAGTCAGAATTGCGTCAAGGTCATTCCTGTTTTTATACTCTCTTGTTTTAAATCTAAATAAGTAATTCTAGTTGTTTTCTCACCAGTGTAATAGTTGAGGTTATACTGATACCACCCTGAACCTTCTGTGCTGCGAATTTACGCTACTTCTCATATTCCCTTCAGTATCCCTATCAAGCCATGGGTCACTGTTGTCTCTAATGTCTCACATAGTGAAACTACCTTTGAGTCCATCAGTTTTTCTCCTTCTGCCCTTCATCTCTCTTTAGACTGACAGGTGTGTTTCTTCAACCCTCTCTAGGCCTTAACTCAGCCCCAACATTTTAAGTTTCTTGTTACTTTCAATTGTTATCTAAATTTTTCTTTAAAATATGTTGCTTAGAACTGGACATGACAATCTAGATTAGGTCTTGCCAGTACTGTTCCATGTTTTATATAGTTTTTCCTTTCCAATAAATCTCAGATTTAGTTTTTCTTCCCTCCCCCCCAGTTGGTGTCAGATAGACTTGTTAAGTGTTTCAACACCACTACTTGTATTTTTTCCCCCTGTATCTAATCAGTTATTTTCTTTTTTTTTTTTGTATTTCTCATTCCGCATGTCTTTGCTGAAGTGAAATACTTCACACTTGTCTTTGGTGTCAGCTCCAGGCTTTACAGGTGTGTGATCCTTTGCTGATGGCATAATCCATTTAAATATTGGATAAAAAGGTTCAGGCAGACCATTATATAGCCTTGTATAAGATCCTCTCCCGGTTTGATGAAGAGCCATTAATAATTACCCTGTGAGAGTCTAATCTTTTCTTAATCAATAACCAGTTTTGCATCTGCAGTCATAGGTAATCTACCCTATTTTGAATCCACTGATGTGAAGCAACCTTGTTATGTAATTTCAGCTATTAAAGAGCTATTATGGCTTTTTCTCTAGAAAAACAAATTTCCCTTCACAAGTCATTATGATATAAATGTCCAAAAGCTTAACTAGCTTAATTTTTCCAATGTTCTAGTCCTTGGAGCATGTCTAAAAAGACTAGGAAGTTGTGAAATACAAACGCTTGTTTATTCTTCTGTATCTGTACCCTCAGCAGAAGCAGTCTCTTTTCTTGAAAATTCCCTTTTGAGTATTGTTTTAAAAAAAGGCAATATACTCTCCTTAATTCTGTTAGCATGTATCAGTTTTCAGCGTGAAGCAGAATTATGGATTATTTTTTACATGCTGCACACAAACTGTTCATGAATATGGTAGAAAAATAGTTTCATAGCTATTGCAGCATCAGTACTCATCCTAGAAGTGGACTGCTTCATTCATGCAGTATTTAGTATTTTGAAATCTCTCCTTCACAAGATATTAATGTCTTATTAAATAAGAAACAGTCTTCTGTCCATGAATCTCAAAGCTCTTTATAAGTATTCAGTAACTTGGTTATAACAGGTTTACTTCATCAGTAACATTGATATTTTAAGAGCTTAAAGTGACTCTTGACTTGGAAATAACACTTCTGATTTTTTTCCATCTACTCGCGTTACGTGCAACACTTACAGTGGCTATTACCGCTTATAATTGTGGGCACTTTCTGACATGTGTCAATTCTCTGATGACTTGGATGTTGCGGAGAGGCCGGTGCAGTCAGAGGGGGTCAGTCCAGCTGTGTTATTCCGCATCCCTGAGCTACCTTGGGTCTCTGCACGCTGCTTTGCACAGTACAGTGTAAATATACTTTAATCAGCTGTCTCTCTGGAGTGCGCATTAAAGTCTGATTATTTAATGAACCATTTTCAGATGCACTGAAATGTGGATGTAGGTGGAATTGTACCTTTACTTGCTAAAACATAGCGTGAAATATCTACCTCCTAAATAAAACTGAAGGAGACGTAGGAGTTAGGGTGCATTATATGGCATACCAGCTGAGTAGGATAAAAGCAAGCTGTCTTTTGCAGCTGCGTTTAGGAGTCCCAGCCAGAAAGAAAAGATTCTCTTTCACATACCCACTAGAAAGTAGAAATTGTTCAGAGCTTTTCTATGAGAACGATGCTGGACCAAATTCAATGCAGCCATAAGAAATCTCCGCTTCCACGGGAAGCTGTGCTTGGCCCAGGGGCCCTATTCATCAGAATACTGTCCCTCTTTTACAAGTGCCGAGCAAATAGAGTCCCAGAGACTGTGTCAATACAGTCGGAGGACAAGTGAACCACTGTATTGATTTTGACATAAATCCAAAGTAATATCTCTCTGCTGTTAACAGAATCCTTATAGTTTGGAAAAGAACTCATTGAAATAGTGGCTTAATAAAAGCAGGCAGTTAAATTAGCAAAAGTCTAATTGCAGTGTCTGCTCAGTTTGGTTATCCATGGAAGTAAATCCTAGTAATAGTCTAGAATAATGTTTTTGTTATTTAGTCTAGGTATAGTGGGAATTTTTGTTTCATAAGAGGGCATTGGTATTTTTCTCCCTGTATCATACTTAGGGAGCAGCTGGGCATACGTTCCGTGCCTGGGTCTTACCAGGTTTGAAGCTTGAGAGTTGGTCTGCAAGTGGATTGCTCTGTTCTTGGAATGGCTCTTCTGCTCATTCCAGTAACAGCTGTTTTTCCAGCATCTAAAAAGAAAGAAACTGGACCATCTTCTAGGACAGTAGTCTCTCTGAGAAGTGGTTGGGGAAATGATCTCCTTTGGCTGTTGGGATGATGTTGATAGATTCATTGATTTTTTTTTTTTTTTTTGTGTGTGTGTGATTACTTTTACCAGTGGTTTAATGTCTTGTTTTTTTCTTTCCTTTTTTTTTTTTTCTTTCCTGATATGGAAAAAATTTCATTAGGTCCTCAAGGGACATTATGTCACTTGAATAATATTTAATAAAAATTGATTATATGTCCACCAGGGTGCAGTCTTTCCCAAAAAAAAGCCATGGTGGTCAGTAACTGTTCAGTGCACCTGTTCCTTGGAAACTAGATGAGTTTATTTGGCTATCTTATTCTCTTAAGAGCATGCCATCCAATTTAGGAGAAATGGAGAAACAAATATAAGACATGCATATTAAAAGGAGAACCTCAGTATAAAAAAAGTAAATATCCTAAATATCTATGAAATGCTGACACATTTTGTAAATTATTTATAAGAATAAATGCAGAGAGTTAGGATTGGTTTTTTTAATGAGACTCAATAGCTGTAATCAGGAAATGAAGATGTGAATATTTAATTCTTTTAAAAATTAAAGGCTATTGCTGCTGCTTCTGATACCATCCGCATTAGTTAAAGCAATTACTTCCAAGTTAAAGGAACAAGCTTTCCCTATTCTGGCAGGAGGAAGATGAAATAATTTCTGCTGGTAGAGAGAGAATATATTCAAAACGCTGGAAAACTTCACTTGCTTTCCTTTTTTCCCCCCATCTCTATCCTCTTCCTTCCAGCCACTGCCATCCTCAGCGCTGCAAGAGCCGAGTAGCACTCTCTGACACAGTGGAGGTGGTGGGCAGGGCAGGGGGCTGCAGGGCCAGGGCTGCTGCTGAAGGCAGAGCTCCCTGTGCAGCACCACAGGCTGGTTTCAGCATGACTTCCCAGCTTTGCACGCCAAGAAGCAGTGACCTCAGCTAAAGCAGCATCTGTTTAAAATCACGTGTCACTAATGTTAGATTTTGAGCTAGGCTTTTCCTTATGCCATGTTACAACAAGAAGAGGTTGCTATGGCATTTAAAAATCTAATGTTACAGCAAACTGATTTGGAGTCAGTGTTGACCTGGCTTGGAGCGGGGTGTTGGGCCAGGAGCCTCCTGAGGTCATTTCCCACCAGAGAGATTCTGTGACTTTGCATCCTCTGACTACACTCTCTTTGTGTCTTATGTTAACTGTTGCCTATTATATTTATTCACTTCTCGATCTTGTGCAAATTTAAGCGTTCTGGCAGCAATGCATACCTAAGGACCTCATGGTAATATTTTGTAGTAATCCTAATACTCAGGCCAAATGATAAGTGGATGGGTGGTGCTCTCCTTGAGGGCCAACAGGAAAAAAAAAATCTTGGAATGAAGTGGGATGGAGGGGGAGGAAGAGTAATACAAGTTGTACAAAACTAAAAAACTTGAAATAACAGTATTTTATTTCTCCTCTTGATCCAGGTTATGCATTAGATCCCTCTATAGATAACCCTGAAGTTGCTACCAAGTATATTGGTTCTGTAGAAGAAGCTGAAAAAAATCAAGGTAAGTAATGCAGAATTGCATATAAATGACTTGTAACTGATGACTGTTACCGTTTCTTTTTCACTAAGAAATTGAATAGGTATTGGCAAATGAAGGAATTATGAGAGACTTACTTATGTCCAAAACCGCAATAAATGCAGATTTGTTGTAATTATAATGTGAAGAGGGAAGGAAGATATGGGGGGTCTTTGTTTTCCTGAAATAGCGAATATTTGAGGCTATCATTAAGTCAGATTCCAAATTATGATTTGTAGTTGGAAGCTAGGTGTGCCATTACATAAATAGAATTGATCTGTATATTTGAAACAGGTTTTTGGTCTTCTTAAATTCTGTCTTAGCTAAAATTCATATGTCTGCATTGGGGTGCTTGTATGTTGGGCTGGTCACCTTAACTGTGCTACTCAGTAGCAAACTGATCACTCTGTATGCAACCTCTAGTGTTCTGTTGTGAATTGAATGTTATCTCTGCTTAGCAGAGTTAAGCTGTTTGGGTTATTTGGAAGAGGAAAACCATTGGAAGGTTGCCAAATGGTAAAGGCATAGCGTTGCTAGTGGGAGGATTGACAACCAAAGGCATAGAGTTTGTAATTAATACTTTGATACAAGATACTTAACAAAGTGACTATTTGCATTGGAAAATTGGACCTGTGTAAATTGTACCTTTACAGTTATGCTTCCCTTGCATGTCTTTTTCTGACATCTTATTCATGTGTGTATACAAAGGTTCTTTATTTCTGTGTCCTCTTCCATGGAATATATCCAAAGTTATTTCACTCTTTTGTTCCAGAGTAAGATTAAAAAAATAAAGATTTCTTTTGGTATAGCAGCTACTGAAATTAGACAGAAATGGCTAAAATGAAATAATTTCAAAATTTAAAAAGTAATTATTTTCATAATGGAATGTTAGTAATTTATTTTAACAAAACTCTTTATTAAGATTTAATTTCTTCATATGATCATTACTATAATTTTTACATTATCTGTTTCCTCTTGCTTATGCAAAGCTCTTTTTGGCTCCTTTGCACTTGTTGAGTATTACTGATGCTATAGGAAAACATTGTTTGAAAATTGCACATTATTATATATACAACCTTTTGAAAAAATTTTAAGGCTCTTCTCTCTGATGTCAAATGATAAGGGGCAATGGGAGCAAGCTGGAGCATAGGCGGTTCAGTCTGAACTTGAGGAAAAACTTTTTTACTGTGAGGGTGACAGAGCACTGGACCAGGCTGCCCAGAGAGGTTGTGGAGTCTCCTTCTCTGGAGACATTCAAAACCCGCCTGGACGTGTTCCTCTGCAACCTAGTCTAGGTGATCCTGCTCTGGCAGTGGGGTTGGACTGGATGATCTTTCGAGGTCCATTCTAACTCCTAATATTCTATGATTCTGCGATTAATAACTCTTAAATTTATTTTTTTTCCTCCCATATCTATATTGTTTAATGGTTTTGATAAAAGGAATTCTTAGGGCACAGCATTTGTGAAAAGCTAGCATTTATAAGAAAGAACAAGGTAGTGGTTGGAGGTAGATGACCATGTCAATGAGTACTGGCTTTTTAATAGGGTTTGTAGCAACAGGACAAGTGATAGTGGTTTTAAACTAAAAGAGGGTAGATTCAAACTAGATATAAGTAAGTCATTTTTACAATGAGAGTGGTGAAACACAGGAACAGGTTGCCCAGAGAGGTTGTAGATGCCCCATCCCTGGAAACATTCAAGGTCAGATTGGATGGGGCTCTGAGAAAGCTGATCTACTTAATGAGATTTCTGCTTTATTGCAGGGGGTTGGACTAGATGGCCTTAGAAGGTCCCTTCAAACCCAAACCATTCTATGATTCTATGACTTTTGACTAAATTAAAATACATAGTTGTGGTTGGGGTTTTGGAACACCTGTCATAATTTGGCTTTGGGGTTGTTTGGGGCTTTTTGGGTTTTTTTGAAACTTGGAGACATGAGGGGAATCAGAAGAAATGGTTAGGACTCTACTCTTCCAAACACTGCATTATTTAAAGTATAAAAATTGATGTATTCACACAGTCTGCAGACTTATTGTTAAAAATGCATGGGTACATGCATGGTCTAACAAACCATGACACACAGTTTAAGTGGTTCCTCTATTACTGTACTTAGTTAGCAACATTCATCATTAGCAATGCTTTGGCTAATTTTGTTCAAATGTTTTTTCCATTTTGCTCTACGTATTGGAAGGAGTGGTGGTGGTTTGGTTGGTTTTTTCCTTTTAACCTGATAATGATGTGATCTATGATGTTGTATTCTGTGTTAGCAGCTAGGCAGTGCATTGTTTCTTTCTTCAGGTTTAACAGTGTTTGAAACTGGACAAAGGAAAATTGAGAAAAGGAAGAAATTCAAGGAGAATGATGCATCTAATATCGATGGTTTTCTGGGACCATGGGCGAAGTATGTTGATGAAAAAGAAGTAGCCAAACCATCAGAAGTAAGTACTACTTCAACACAATAGATACAAATTCTTGTCCAGTCAGTGATGCTTAGCTGAGTCTATGAACAAAAGTATAGTATTTAATTCTTTTCAGTGTACATAGCTTTTTTAATTAATCTGGTTTTGATAAAGGTATTCTCTTTATTGTTGCTTTGAAATATTTCTAATCTCATTTAGCAAATGTGTGTTCTTAATAGTAAGTAAATGGTAGTGCAGTTACGGATTTTGTTATGTGATTCTGAATGCTGAATTTTTAAAGTCAAGATCATGTTTTATTTTTCCAGGAAGAACAGAAAGAGTTGGATGAAATAACAGCTAAGAGGCAGAAGAGAGGAAAAATAGAAGATGATAAACCTGGAGAGGAAAAGACTATATTACATGGTAATGGCATCTTCCTGCCTGATCTCATTTTCTTGCTCACTGTGTTTTCTTGCCTGCTGTGTTAATTAGTAAGGATGGCAGACAGCCTCAGTGGTTTTGCTGAGGCACCTTGATGTTTCTGTATTGAAGATAATAGTTCTCACGTGCATAAGCATAAAGGACAGGGAAAGTGATAAACTTGGACTAATTCCACTTCATACTGTGAAGAGCAGTGTGGAAATGTCATCTTCCAGGGTACTGGGTTTATTTATTTATTTTTAATGGTACTAGACGCACATATCCCTTTCCTGTTTTACTGAGCAAACATTTTAAAGTTATGAGTTTGGCTTGGTTTCAGCTTCAGAATTACTGCAGTTTTATGTGTCAGTACTTTCATCAGCAGGTAGTGCTTTGAGTTATGGCTTGCGCACAGTTTAGAAAATCACTTGGACTTTATACTTCCTCAATTCTTAATGTAAATGTTCTTGCTGTCATACTATGAATAATTTTGTATAAAATAATTACCCTACGGAAGGCTATAGCACGTGGTACCATCAAAGAAAATGGTTTTGTAAGTAAGTAAAATTAAGTGATTTTTGGAAACTGTTATTTCAACTCTCTGCATGCAAAACAGTCCTGCCTTATATTGCTTGGCATAGCTAGTTGGGTAAATCAAGTCTCTCTTTGTTCACCACTTTATACAGCCAGGCTCACATGTACAACCTGGAGCATCCTTTCTTATATGCAGTAAAGAATTGGCTATGAGTTACGCATTGCTGACATTAGTACTTCATTCTGTTTATATGTAGTGTATCATGACAATATTTATTGAATAGTGACAGGCATAACAAACCTCAAACTTTAGCCATTGAGCCTCCTAGAGAATAATTATTTTGTACCCAGCTTCTCATGGTCTCTACCTGAAGTTTCACGGTAAAAGACCTTACAAGATAAACTTTAATCTTCCAGAAATATGCCATTTTGTAGACATCTGTAAACATTGATACCATGCAGGAGGCCACTTGTGCAACCAAAACTGCCATAACAATATCCCAGAAACTGAGAAATTAATTGAATCAGTGCACAGCTTAATGTCATGGCTACACAACACAAGTCTACTCTGAAATATCTGTTTCCATCCGCAGTGCAACCTCTGCATGTCAGACTGTCCCATCACTTCTTAAATCTAGTTAAAGAGCAGGTGTTGGCTACTGCTGACCAATATTGGTTCACACTGGCCAGATGGATCTTTTTGCTCTGGGTTGTAGTTCTGTTGATATGACTGACGTAGCACAGAGCTGCATGGAATGTGAATTGCAAGCAAATGCCAGGGTTAGAGTTGCACTTGATAATCCATGTAGAGTTAGTGTAAGCAAACCCTTGTTGGCTGGAGGAACTCTCCTGCTGTTTCACGAGTAAGATGTGTGGGGAAGAGATTGTCTTAAAGTTCAGATTAACAGATTCCAAGCAGACTTTGCTGAAACTACTTAATTTGATGTCAAACTGATGTCAAATATTTAAGATTCCACATCTGTGTCCTATGAAGTAGGTTTTTCTTTCCCACCACCCCATTTCACAGCAGAGCAGTTGTGTTGAGAAAAACCTTAATTGTGTGTGGCTGTTGAGCCTTTTGAAGATTGTACCCTCTTAAAGTACAGGTTCCTGGATTCTTAGAATTCTCTGTTTACCTTTTCAGTTAAGGAAATGTATGACTACCAGGGAAGATCTTATCTTCATGTCCCTCAAGATGTTGGAGTTAATCTCCGTTCAACAGTGCCACCTGAGAAGTGCTATCTTCCAAAGAAACAAATCCACGTGTGGTCTGGACATACAAAGGTAGAAAGTTGTGTATCATAAAAGCCCACTTCACTCTGTGTCTGAAGCTAGTAAATCCTATAAAGCTGAAGTGTCAGCAGAAGGAAGGAGTATTTTTGTCTTTACCACATTATGCGTGTAATTGGTTGCGTTACATGCTCGCACAAGATGTTTGCCTGCTCAAGTGCAGTTGTTTACCTGCATATACTTTTTCATGAGCATAATTACTTCCTGACCTGCTTTAAAGGAACAAATATTATTCAGTGACTTCTGTGGAGTTATTTCCTAAACTACCACATGAATGAGAGTAAGTCTAATTCTAGAGATCCCTGAAAATGTGTACTTCTTTTAATAGTAAAAGTAGTTAAGGGTTATTTCATCTCAAACTTGGGAAAAGATACATAGGTTTTGTGATTATGATGCATCAGCATTACAGGATTCCTAAATATAGCTATTACTTTGAGAAGTGCACCTCCTCAAAGTAAGAGTTTTGATTGATGGAGGTACTTAACATTTACAGTTTCTTCTAGTGCCAGAGCCCATAACTATATACATAACTTTAGTATTAAGAAAGTGTTTTCACTGATCAGGTTTGTAAAGCTTATACTCAATTTGCTGCTCCTTTTTGTCTTTAATTTTCAGTATTGCTTGAGGGAATGTGCTATATTGCAATGGACAGCACCTTAATGGTATCTGAAAGATGGAAGAAAGGAGGATGCAGGAAACACTTTTAGCTTTTACTCTTTTTCAGTTGAATCACAGCTCTGAACTCTTCTTTAATGATTGTAGCATCAAAGAGCTTGTAGCTGAAACTATCAGTGCTTTCCAGAATAACATCTTCTCCTCAAAGCTCTAGACACTCCTCTGCCTGTTACCCTGTTAGAACAGACTGCATAAAGTAGCTTTTTCCTTCAAACAAGAGATCAATAACAGTGTCGATGAGATGCAAAAGAAAGATGGGCTGACAAATCTAGAAAAGCTGAGGAGTATAAGTAGGCAACAGTAGGGAGGATAAAGCACCCAACTTTGACCAGGGGTGGGAGGAAATGGATGGAATATGACTAGAGTAATGGACATGACATGGAAACAAGGGACATGTAATCATGAGTATTTGGTGGTTCTTTGGATCTCCTCTGGATGGAGTACCTGAAATACAGATAGATGGGGAGGTGCTGTGCCCAGGGAATCTGAGTTCATGGGTTGAAGCCGCTGGTAGTATGTGTAAGAAATGGAGCTGGCCAGAAACTTTTTGTGGAAAAATTCCTCACCTGCCACACCTAAAAAGGCTTGTTACGCAGCAAGAGTCGTCCAGACCCACAATTTGTATTTCTTTGCTGTGTTTACCATAGTAATGGTGTGTTGAAGGAGGGTGTATATACAGCTGTTGAAGTGAATCAATTTGTTGCCAATAACAGTTGTTCAAAACACATCACTGTTTCTCAAATGGAATGTCAGTAGGTTATTTCTTTTCATTGTATAATAGATGTATTTTTTACTAAGATAAGGTTTTGTTTTTTGCTTAGAAAAGGGGGCAACTAAACTGAGGAAATACTTAGTTGCTCCCCTTAACTGTTTAATTCTGTCCTTATTTACAGGGTGTCAGTGCAGTTAGATTGTTTCCTCTCTCTGGGCATATACTGTTGTCTTGCTCTATGGATTGCAAAATTAAGGTGAGTTATCTTTGTTTTCATGTATATATTTTATACCATCTTTGAATACAGACAATGCATTTTAGAATACTTAAACATTTGGTACTTCTACCAAATACCTTTTGTCTGTGTTACATCTATTTTTCTTACTTGGTTTTTAAATTACAGATTTGTTGGAACAAAGATAGAAATAATACACAAGACTGTGGGTGTTAGAACAGTGTTAATTATTTAGTAATAGCATTTAGAAGGTCCCAAGTTCCTCAGGTTATTGTCTTTATTGTTCTAATAATTAATTTTCTGTGAAGCCTTGTTTTACAACTATCAGTGGGTTTCTGCTGAAGTGTTCTATTAAGCATTTGTGGTCTTGAACTGATCTTATTTTGGTCCAGCATACATCACATTAGAAAATTGATTATTTTATTTTTTTTTAATCGGCAAACCCTTAGGGCTTTGAAGTTGGAATATGGTATGGGCATTTTAGTTATTTTAAGGGGATTTTGCTAACAAGAAGGTGACAGAGGATTCTTCCGAAATCCTGGGTAAATAGTTTTGATTAATCAGTAGATGTCCTATGTTTGTAGTTAGTTTCTTAAAAGATGTTGCCATATATGTTTGCACTTAATTTCAACATCATTATTGTTTAACAATTGATATATTTTCTTCCCATCCCCCCTTTTTTTTCCCAAGCTATGGGAAGTATATGGTGATCGAAGATGTCTACGAACATTTATTGGTAATAGTCTTTTTTTTTTTTTTTTTAACTGATGTATATTTAAAACAACTTCATGGAAGGATATGATTTAGGTTAGCTTAGTAATTTATCATAGAGAGGACTTGTAGGCATCCAAGGCAAATGGTGTGCAATATAATCTTGGCAGTAAGAATCGAAAATGTGCAAGTTTCTAGTGAACTTTTGTCATTATTCCAAGCAATTTAATGTAATGTATAAACTCCGTATGACCCTTAAAACAAAAAAATAGTGTACTGCAGTCATCAGTACTTTATGCAAGACTCCTTTCCAAAGGCAGAATTGTGAAATTGAATTGCCCATCTTCATGTTGAGAACAGCAGCGCTCTATATTTATGCTGTGAGGGGCATCTCATGGTCTGGTGACCCCATCTTAAATAGGTGGTCTCTTCTGTGCTGAGTTCATAGTGTGAAAGCATGGGAATATGCTGAGTTTATGGTGCAAAAGCATGGGAATCTTTCTTAGGTCCAGGTACTGTCTTTGTTCTTGGTGCCTTTTAAGCAGGTGCTTTTTAAAGCAGATAGCTGAGAGAGAAATACAAACTTAGCAGCCTTGAATGCAGAACAAAAGCAGCTGATTCTCCTTTTGAAATGGGAACATTTCTAGAACACTGAGTGAATATATGTTGAGTAACAATAAAGAAGTCTCTTTTCATCCGATATTTCTGATGACAGCAGTGTGGCAAAGATGGTGGCTCAAAAAAGGTTCTTTGTCAATAGACTGCTCTTTCTGAACAGTTTGACTGTTTTTCTCAAAAGATCCTAATTATCAACCAGATTCACCTGCTATTTTGCTATATTTAAGTTACTGTGCCAATATTTTAACTACAGAGATCTCCTACAAGTCTGATGCAGTGGATAGATGAAAGTACTGGGGTTGAGGGGTAGCAAGGTTAACACCAGATGAAGCATTCTTAATTTTCTGATCTAATATTTCCCATATTTTGTACCTATTTTCTAGTTTTAAATTTATCTTCTTAGTGTTTGTTTCTCCTCTTTTTCATTAGATGTTGTCATTTATTAATGTTTAGAAGGCAACAGTACTTAAAGTTCTGCTTGTAGATCAATTTATGAATCATGCACAGTGGTTGGTCTTGTGCAGTGCTGTTGATTCTCTTTCCAGTGCTTTAGAGGTGTGAGAATTTGGGGTTTGGTTTTTTTGGAGTTACTTTTTCTTTCTCACTTGAATCATTCTTTACTAGTGCTTATGAAGAACTTCGGTATGTGATTTCCTTGTTCTCTTTGCACTGTTAAAGACTGGAACATTTAGCTTGAATAATGTTTAAAAAACCAACATCAATTCTAAGCATGAGTGGCTAAAAGTTTATCATTGCATTTTTTCTGTCTTTTAGGACACAGTAAAGCTGTTCGAGACATCTGTTTCAATAATGCTGGCACTCAGTTTCTTAGTGCCGCATATGACCGCTATCTTAAACTCTGGGACACTGAAACAGGTAAACTTGTATTTGTAGATGCTGTTATTTGGCACTACGTTTAATTAATAGTAAATATCAAGATTTTATTATTATCAGTCAGTCAGGATGTTTCCAGTTATCCTGAATATCGTCTGTTAGTTTAGTGTTTTAGGCTTTCATTACAGGATGAATAGTCATCCTTTTTTCTACATGTTTTGTTGTTGTTTGTTATGGTGCAATTGACACTACCTCTGTACCTTTTTATTTGAGAAGTTTGATAGTTATTTGTAATGCTAGAACAATTATCAGCCAAAAGACAGAATTTTACCAAATCAGTTAATTGCATGTTTACATTTACAGGCATAAAATACAGGTGACAGCCGGAAATGTGTAAGTCAGATTCTCCAGGCTTGAGTCTGAACTCAGTTCTTTAGACACCTGAAAAATGTATTGAGCTTTTGGATTAAAACAGGCTTCTATAAGTTTCAGATACTGTGTAGTCAGGGTATTTATGCCTGAGGCTATGAGAAGTCAGTGGTTTGTTTTGTAGTTGGATCACTGTTAACCTTTTCTAGGTTTAGGATTGAGAAATTCTTTTCTCTGTTGAAGTCTTTTGTCAAGAAGACTGACCCCTAAGGAGGTGATGCTATGCAAAGACAGTGGTCAGCTTGCGATATATGTCCTGATGACATACAGGGTACTGAGTACTTATATTGTTTGGAAAGCTGTAGTAGAGATACATACAGAACAGTTTGTCTGTGTTTATACAGGTGTGTGCATACAAACATCTGAAAGAAATTCAAAGAGCAGGGTAATTTCTACCATCTAATCCTCTCATGGCTTTAAAACATGTATTTCCTGCTGTTAGTAAAGTGAAAGTAAAATGAATGGTTTTTATCAATATCTGCAAAGAACTAATCAGCTCATAGAACTTCCAACCTGACGCACTATGAATGGCTTTTCTGTTGCAGGGCAATGTATTTCAAGATTCACAAACAGGAAGGTTCCTTATTGTGTCAAGTTCAATCCTGACGAAGATAAACAAAATCTCTTTGTTGCAGGAATGTCAGATAAGAAAATTGTGCAGGTATGTCTACTTAATATCTCTTCCTCTAAAAATTATGATGTTTAGCAAAAAACAAAGTCTTATTCTGACTTTTTTTTGTAGTGGGATATTCGAAGCGGTGAGATTGTGCAGGAATACGATAGGCATTTGGGAGCTGTCAACACTATTGTGTTTGTGGATGAAAATAGAAGGTTTGTGAGCACATCTGATGACAAGAGTTTAAGAGTCTGGGAATGGTAAGTTTAAAAATTTGAATTTTAACTTCAAGTATATTATGAGCAAACTGAGAAGAAATTTTATTTTTAAGAATAAATGTGGCACGTAGGACACTGGATTGTACTGAGCTCTAGGTAGCTGAGGAAAAGCTGAATTTTAAATGTCTACGAATTTTTATGTATTTATATATACAGTAGCTAAAATGTTTCACAATAAAGTGGAACCAGAACAGTCTCAGCTATTGTTGCTAATTTCCGGTAGCTGTTGAAGTTGGGGATATACTCTGCAAACTCCTGCATACTGCCACTCTGTCTAATATGGGTCATAGTTCTTAAATGTTTTTTCCAGTGAAAGGAAACATCTCTTCCAAAATCTTAGTATAATACTTTATATATCTTTGAAATCATTCTTAATGTCTAATAGTGAATTGCTGTCCACAGCTTACTGCCCTACTGTACTGCAATATTTGAAAACTGCTTTTAGAAGCTACAAAACACTGTATGCAAACTAAAATGTCTTAAGTAGCCTCTGTTTTATTGGTACTGGTTTTTTATGGGCATTGGGCTGTATTTACTTTTAGCATTAATTATTAATATTTTATCTTAGTACTGTATCTTTTAGAATAATTTCTCTAGAGATTTTAATCTTTAAAACCAGTTGCATCCTAGAACATTGCTGAATATTAACCAACCCATCCTGGCTTTATGCTCGGATACTTCACAGATTTCCTTTTCTCCCAAAGAAAGCATAAAACAGCTCTGTCAGCCTGAAGCTCGCTGCACTCTACTAGTGATCTCTGTTCTCTCTCCCTTCCCTGAGGGTGCATTAGCCCTTAAATTAACCTTTAAAAGAAATGTCTGCTCTGTTACATTAGCGCGTGTTGGTTTTGAAAGCTTTGAACTTGGATGTGCATGGTATTATATAATATTTGGCCCATGTATGAAATAGCTAGTTCAGTGTAGCTTCATTTCTGGCTTTCTGGTAGTCTAGGTTTTTTGGCAATCTTTGATACCCACAGTATGAATACAATAGATGACAGAAAATTGAAAGTCTGAGAAAAACTCACAGAAACATTTGCTTCCAATTTTTATCACATCTGGGGTGAAATCAGATCTCTCCTATCTGAAATGTTTTCCGCAATGTTCTGGGTACTAGGATTTTCCAGCTTAGGGCTTTTAAGATTTCTCTAGGATTTCAAATTTCATTTTGAAGTAATCACTCTCATATCTTTTGGTATCCATTTCATTTTGCTGTTCACACATGCAAAGCTGTCGCGCAATATGGATGCTAGTTCAACAGCTCTGTGACTAATCAGTTCCTTCCTAGTTTTTTTTTCCTTAAAAAAACCTAGACAAGGGACTCCGGTCTGTGGTATTTGAATGTTACCCAAGCAACCAGCAGAACCCTCAGCATGTCTGTGATCGTCTGCTATCATTGCCAGTAGCAGTAGTGGTAATGACCAAAGTCTGGGAACCCAGGCTTAGGCAAGACATGTAATGCTGTCACCATATGTCACTCCAAGAGAGCCTCTGTTCAGTGTTTCATAATTAGACCCATGTATATTTACTGCGCTCCTTAAAGAAAATTCTTCACAATATCGTATCTGCTAAGGAGTGTCTCCTCTCTGGCGAGTGGGAGGAGGATCTCGCTTGCACAAATCTGCTACTTCCTTGAGATCAAATTGCCCTTGTCTTGTGAGCTTTGTGTTGATGGCTGAAATAAACAGCGAAGTGGGTGGATTTAGTCACTCTGTGGGGAAGAGCAGGAAAGGCAAAAAGGTTCTGGCATGGGAACATCGCAACCTGATTGTTCCAGTAGCAGAAGTATTTTCCTTCTGAAGAAAAAAATATGTACTGAGCTTGCTGTACGCTGAAGAAAAAGCTCTCTTGTTCAGATAACAGGGAACTCAACTGTAGGCAATATTCTGTAATACAGTCATTGGGGACTTTTTTTTGTTTTGTTTCTTTTATAAAAAGCAAATGTAATGCTGTCTTCCTAGGCAGGACTTGAAAACCTTTCTCCGCAACCTGCCCTGATACATGTTAATTGGTCTGTAGGCATATTTCTGTAATTTCAAGATCCAGATTTTTACAATACATTAAAACTGAGTTAAAGTATTCAGTACAGAAGCTTTTGGAGCTTGAAAACTTCCATGGCAAATTATTCTGTGCTGCACCACAAATCCTTTTTTCCCTAAGTTCATAAAGAAAATAATTTGCAACAGAGGGTGATTTGGTTACTGCATCTTCTGGCATGTTTCTGCAGATTTTCTTCACTACAGTATTTCTTCAGTATCCTACAGAAACAAAGCAGAAGTAGTTATGACCTGAGTATGGCCTTAAAAGCCAGTAATTAAAGCTAGTCTAATTGCTTAGTTTCAATTGTCTAGAGGAATTCAGTAGTATGTTTTGTAAACACTTGGACTTGGCCAGAGCTGGTAATAGGACGCTGTGTCAGACTTCATCACAGCGGGGAACTTCTCTCCCGAGAATTTAAATCTACTTTCCCCAGGAGTTCATCCCATGCAGAGATTTCACTGTGCTGTACACTGAATTGCAGTCGGTTGATTGTTGAAAGTATAGGACACGCTTTTGCAGACTAAGTGACTTCTTTAGGAGTCTTAGTAGGAGTACTTTAGAATATGTCTGCTTTTGTATTTCATGTGACTGTATCATTACAGCAGGGATATTAAGGTTGACATGGGTATCATATTCTGTGTTTGTTCTTCTAGAAATGCAAAATGTTATTTTGTCTTTGTCTGCTTCATGTATGTCTGATCCTACATGGATAAACAGGGAAATTATTTGGGCAATTTACCTTGGAGGCTTTTATTTCCTTTTACCTTCAAGCCAGCTAGCAAAGCAAGAACTATGCAGTGGTAGCTTGTTGTTATCCTGGCAAGCTTAGGAGGCTGGTCATCTCTGTAAAGCCATACCCCTCAGCAGGCCTCTTCTCTCCATCATTCCTGGTAGAGGTCGGTAGTCTCTTGAGAGAGCTTTTCGTGATGTGCAGATCCTCAAATTGGATTGGGTTGGGTTTGGTTTTTTTTCTTTTTTTCTTCTTTCTATAAAAGGATTTTTTTTTTCTTTCTCCTGCTTGGGGATGAAGTGTTAGAACCCCAGAGTATCACATTTCTAGATCTTGAGTAGCAGATACTACTTTTGATATTTAAAACTTTTCAGGTGAGCCTGCCTTCGTTTGTAAAGGGAGACAAGGCAGGACAACCTATGCTGCATTTGAATTTCTCACTGCAGTGCAATTCAGCGTTGGATATGCGTCTTCTGTGATGAGACACTTTTTAATGGGGCTTCCAATGGGATTGCTTTTGCCTGACACTGAGGACTGCAGATGACAGTGGGCTGAGGAGGTGTTGGATGTCGGGAGTTGATCAGTGTGTCCCCTTACTGCAGTGATGACCTTGTGTTTTGTTGCAGGTGGGGTTTGAAGCTGTTTGGGTATTGATGCAAAAGGGTAGGATGGGGCACAGGGGACTGTACTTCCTGTGCTGTCACATTGCTCAGCCTCAGAGATTGTGTGGACTTATCCTGTTTGGGTCTGCCCACTTGGAAACCAGTTATCCCTGTGTGTGCTCTTGTCTACAGGGTGTATTAAGTGGGTTGCCCTTCTTATGCAGAGGGGAAAACAATTTTAACATTTAACTCAACGGAGCATTTGTGTTGCTTCCTGACAACAGAGCAGCTTCTCACCCTGCTGCCCATGTGCACGTTACTTAACACAAGATGATGGGAAATAACTTGCTCCACAATAAAACAGAATTGTAATTACCTTGCTAATGTAAGCTGTATTGCCATCCAGCAAGGCTCGGTCAGCGACTACAAGGCAGCCACCCACACTCTCTGCTCCAATAGTGTCCCAGCAGCTCTTCTACTGCATGAATTAGATAATGAAGTCATAACCATCCCATTTGTATTAATTAATGTTGCTACAGAACATTTTGCTTATGTTTTCTGCTGAATACATTAATCAAATCTGTTTTCTGCTGAAGATTTCTTTTGCTTAATGAGAAAGATGTGCATGCTTTCCCTTTTTACCAGCCTTCCAGCGTAGGGTATAACGTATGCTGTGTATATGCACAGCCCATTAATAATTCAATTTATATAGTCAAAACCAAATGACAGTTCTGCAGAGTAAGGATTAGGCTGTACTTGCTTTTTCCCTAGATCCACAAGCCTTTGTACAGGACAGTGTATGTTCTTAACATCCACTGGCACAGTACTGTATGGAATCGAGACCAAGGAGTTGACAGTTCAGTTCAGCTGGGAACATTTGGAATTGGCTGGCATCCTATTTGGGCAGGAAGAAAAAGGCCTCGTCAGACAAGGCACAGACTCCTGTTTTCTTTTCCTTTAATAAAAAAAAAAAGGCAGAAATATTCTAGTTAAAACAAAACTGAAGTCAGTGAGACATTCCAATAAGATAAATCCATATATCAGTCTATTCTTGCTACCTGTATAAGAATTTTGTAAGAGCTGCAGTTAAACTGGAAACAACAGAGTGTCTGTGTTACAGTTTTAACAATTGGAATTATGATTCTGCTTTAGGCTCTGGGTCATTTGATTGGGGTAAATTCACTCTGTCAGAGCTTATTCTGTAGATGGCTCCACAGCTGGAGCTCTCCAGGTGGACATTCATAATATTTTTGAGCTTTTGCACATCCTTCCTTTCAATACCACCATACGCACTCCATGGTTCAGGGGCTGAGTAAATCAGCTGGCTGGAGAGGCAGCCCTTTGGAAAATCTCCATGTCTTCATAAAACACATACTTCTTCCTTTTGCAGGGACATTCCTGTAGACTTTAAGTACATTGCTGAGCCAAGTATGCATTCGATGCCAGCTGTGACTTTGTCTCCAAATGGTAAGTAATACTTTACTGCCTTCTTAGGCCTAGTTTGCATAGGCATGTCTTACTGATAGTATCTCTGTAATGTTGCCATGTTGCATCCCCCACCACGTCCCACTGCCCGCCCCAAATCAGCATGTGCATTTATTCCAAGATTCAAATGGATCTGCTTTTGATTTAAAAGTCTTAAAAGAACAAGTATGACAAAATGAGGGGTTATATCAGGATAAGTGTATCAATTTAAATTTAGACCTTCATTCAGACAGGACAGAAGGACTCTTTTCTTTCATAGAGCTACCATGTGTTCTTTGCTGTATTTAAAATATTAAGAGAAACAATGGTGGGAACTGACGATGGCTGCAAAGTACTAAGCAAGTTCAGCAGTCCTTGTGGTGCCACTGCTAAAGTAGAAACTGATGTTGTATGTGATCCTGTTAATGCTGTTCCTTTCTGTTCTGAATATAGCCCAAATAACTCTTGCGTAAGAGAAATCCCCAAATTATCTCGCTGTTCCTGTATGTTAACGTTTCACTGGTGCTTATGTTCTTCAATTAAAATCAAACTGAAGGAGGATAAAGGTTTAGTGCCTCCAGTAATCTGTGAAAATCCTTCTAACTGGACAAAATCTCTGTTGTTGGTGTTGGCCAAAATTAAATAGCTTTATTGTCAACAGTATTAAAGTGTTGCCAGGTTTACAGTTAACAGTCCCATTATGCTGAGTAGTGGCTGATCAACTTGTTTTCAGCTGGCTATCAGCATCAAATTGTATTTGCTTTGCAGTGTAAACACATTATTCTTAACAATAGAAGTGAGTGTCTAATATAAAAAGGAAGATTCTGGAGAGAGAATTTCACATTTTAAAATGTTAGCTTCCTAAGCTAGCCTGTTTCAAGCCCTGTTTCTGAAACTGCACAACTTGCTGTATTCTGAGCCAGATTTTCAGTTCATCTCATTCTTCCACATTGAAATACTGGATTTTTCTTTTTTTTTTTTTCCCAGTTCTGGCTGGCCAGCAATTGAGTATTTGATTTATGAGAAGAGACAGTTAATAATGTTAGAGTTGAAGTAGTCATCTTTTCAGCTCAAGACATCACCTGCCACATTAACTAATATTATCTTGACCTACAGTAGTCCAATATCGCACAAAACAAGTTCTTTCAGAATAGTTATCCTGCAGATTGTGCCAGACACATCATGCATCATTTTGGAGTTGAATGAGTTCTTTAAAGAAAAGTAAATTGAAAATTTTACAGAGGTGGAACTTTTCTGCTTAAGGGCACTAATTTATGAATCTCATCAATTAGTATCTTCCTCCTGAGCAATGCAGGAAACATTTTAAAAACAAGAGGAGGAGAATAACATGCTTGGGGTAAACACTTGATTTGTTTCTTGGGGAGGCTGAAAAAAATCCCCAAATTCCAAGCTAGTAGCTGGAAGCGTGATCAGTTTTACAGTTGAGTCAGCACATTTTATGTTATTACTGTTTGCATAAAACACTGTAGATGCAGTGGCAATATGCAGAGATCAGGACAAAAGTCCCTGTTCTATGGTGTTTTGTAGCACATCATCTTCATTGGATTCTCAGGCAGGGGTTTAATGCACTGCCAAGGTGCAAGATGAGATAGAGTTAAGATTAGAAAAGCCTGACTGGTTTTTTTTTTTTACTTCATTAAAATATCTTTATAAAATTGTATTCCATTAGGGCAGAGAATACTAAATATTTGCAAAAATTTACACTTTTTTCAAACTCCTGAGTCTTCCTTAGACCCAGTTTTCCCATAAAATACAAGGTGACCATCTTAGAGTATCCACAAAACAGGTAATCAAATAGATTGCAGCTAGATGAGGTTTTTTCACCTCATCTGGATTACCTGATTATGTGCACCAGCAAGATTACTCGGTATCTTAAAAACTTCCCAGTAAGTCAGTGGGGTTGATGCAGCACATTAACAGCCAGAATCTTTCTGCAGTGCTGAGTGTATTTTGTAGTAACAGGCATCCCAAATCCTGTCAAACATAAGGTTTTGCCTCTTGGCAGTTGTACCAGGCAGAAGCAATATTAGCTGATACCTAGAACCCTGATACATAAGATTAAGATAGTGCAAGAGGGGTTACAAAAATCTCTTATAACTTCCTAGTTAAGTCTGTTTCTTCAGATGCAGCACTCTGATACCACCTTTGTTTATTGCATTTATAGGGAAGTGGTTGGCTTGCCAGTCGATGGATAACCAAATCCTGATTTTTGGAGCTCAGAACAGATTCAGATTAAACAAAAAGAAAATTTTCAAAGGTCACATGGTAGCTGGCTATGCTTGTCAAGTGGATTTTTCACCTGACATGAGGTAAGTTTTTGTGGGAATGTGCTTCATCTTAAAACTTGCGGGCACAGACACTGGATTTCTTTTTGAATCCTCTGCAATGTTAATTGATGCACAGCCTTGCTGTTACCTTGGCATCAGTGCTCTTCAGCCAAGCAGCAGAATGGAAACTTTGCTCTTGTCATGCAAGAGGGCTAAGTTGAACTTCGCAGTTGCTCTGAGCAACATTTAGAAAACAGTCCATGTAGTCCAGATTGCCTGTTCTGCAAAGGTGATTTACACTGATGTTAAACCATCCAGAGACTCATGTTTTCCCTAGCCCTGTTGCAGCACAAGAGGCTTCCACTTCTGACTTGCATCTGACTCTTTTTGTGCATGGTCTGCAGCACAGGGTCTATTCTTGCAACATGCACTTGTCCAGAATACCTTGGATTCAGATTGCCCCGTTTTTCCTAGTTGCAGGTCTGGTGTAGGTATCCTCATTTATTATTCAGAGAACCATCTTTTTTGTCCTGTTTGCTTAGTAATATACCCATACATTTACCATTGTATCTACATAAGATATTCATTACTATAAAACTGGAGAATAACCTCAGCAAAACTGGAAGAAAAAGTGGAGAGGAGTGTCTATAAATTTTAGATAAACTTCTGGCACTTTCCCTTTTGCTGATGTATTCTCTTTAGTTCCAGTACCACGGTGTATGGTATAATCGCACAGCTTAGCACATTTACCTCACAGTTGATGAATCACCTTCTGCGGGACTTGTGCACTTTAGAGCACAGCATGAATGCTAATTCTTTGGTAGGTATGTTTGCAGGCTGCCAGACAGAAAGCTCACTAGGTGCAGCTCTTTTCCATTGCTCAGTGTAATAATATTATAATATAAGCAGTCTTCACACGTGACACAGCTTTTTTTTTGATCCTGTTAATATAGCTATGTGATATCTGGAGATGCAGATGGAAAACTTAACATCTGGGACTGGAAGACAACAAAACTCTACAGCAGATTAAAAGCACATGATAAAGTCTGTATTGGTGCAGTGTGGCATCCACACGAAACATCGAAAGTCATTACGTGTGGCTGGGATGGTCTTATTAAACTATGGGACTGAAGAGGATGCTATGAAGATCTAAAGATGCAAGTTCTGCATACATCTGATATGAGAATGAATTCTGCTGTAAGGATGGGTAGGCATTTGTGGTACTGCAGTTCTCAGCTAGCTGTATATATGCACTAAAAGTGGGAAATCTTCAGAAGACACAACTGAAAGGATTTAGTTCTAAATATGACCTCTGAGGATGAGAAGCTGAAGAGGCTGTAGCCTGCAGAATCAAGTGTTAGTTTGTCATGTCACTGTTTGTGCAACACACTCTTGTAAAATAAAGTAATTTTAAGAAAAAACTATTTTTGTGGTTCTGGCTGTCAGAGATGTGTGGAGTTAAAGGAGAAAACCAGCAATTGTGTAATACTTTTCCTAAGAATAAATCTTTGATATCTACTGCTGTAGAGCTGGAAAAGATGCATTTGTTTACATGGTTTTGGGTAGTATTTTCTTGTCTCCAGAATACTTCTACCTTTATAGAACACAAAGCCACTTGCTAAGATCTGTTAATTCACAGTAGAAATGAAGAACTAATCAGGAGCTAGCAGTTGTCAGATAAATTGTATCAACTGAAGACTTTATGAATAAACTCTTGGTTTCTGTCTTTAGCAGTAGCATCATGCTCATTACCAAGTTTCATCTCTGCAAGTACTCCTCAATTTCAAGATTTTGCTTGCAATGGTTGTGTTAAGTGTTGTATTTTCTCTTCCCATATCCTGTTAAGTTCCAATAAGCATGACACATTTAAAAAAAAAAAAGAGTGAATGTCCCTTGCTCAGTTTGGAATACATTGTATTATAAGCCCCATAAAGTTTTTGACAATTTAATGTATATACATGTCCCACTTTTTCTTTTTAAAGAACTTATTTTTAATAAATTTTTTTATAAAAATGTCTTCTTATCTTTGTTCAATTCTTCTAACAGTGTCCATATAAAACATTTCTTACCATTTGGTATTTTAATTTGCAGTTACACCAGTGTTCAGATAAACTCATTCTCATGCACTGTTCATACAGAACTAATGCAAGCTGGAAGGAAGAAAAGAAAATCATTTCAGCTCCCTACCCACTCTCTTTTTGAGCACATAATGGCAATAAAAATGTGTAACTGCTTTATCCCATTGATCAGTCTTTAATTACAGTTTTGAATTACACTGTAGTGTTTACTATAAATCCAATCACTGCTCATCAATTATAAACAATAGCAAAGTAATTGCCTTAATTGACAGCAGGATAGAAGATGAAGCACTTCCGCAGATGAGATGTAAAGTATTTCAACTTGTGTAGGTAGAAGGAAATGTGTTGGTTGTTTTGAGGCGTTGGGGTTGGTTTGGGGTTTTTTTGATTGATGAAGAAGACAGTTCTGCTCTTTCAAGGAGTACTGGAAGGCCTTGGTGAGTGAACATGGAGCTTTTGTGCTTTTTAGTCCTTAAAGCTTAGCTTGAGAGTCCTTCTATTTATGCCATCACATAACTGCACCAATTTTATGTGCTTCTGTTTACCTTCCCATCTCCGCAGCATTGAGTACTGGAAAAACTCTGCCTGTTTTCACAAGCAGTTTACTTGGGTATTGGCGAGCTTTGCACTCATGGAAGTGCTGAGGTAGGAAATGGCAGAGCCTGGAGAGAGAGAAAAGCACTGGTCTGGTGTATCCTGAGGACCATCCCTGCTGCACGGAGAAAAGGCGCTGCTCTTGTTTCTCAGCTCTTCAGGGGGTGGGGGGGAGTGAGCTGCTGCCGTGTTGCGGGGAGTGAATTTCCGACGTGGTGGTTTTCACAGGGAAGGCTCCATTCCTGAGCTGGGAGCTGAGCTCTGGTGTGTGCTGTGGCCCAGATGCTGCTTCAGGAGGAAGTGGGCTGAAATAATTTAGAACCGTTTTCTTTGGCCAAATACATTTCCTAAATGGAAGTGTGGCAGTGTGCCCTGACTATTAACAGCTTCTAAGTACAGGGAACTGGGGAGGAGAGGAGGAATAGAGCAGATAAAGAAACTTATCACAGGAATGGCTATCAGAAGCATCTTTCCCAAATGCTTAAAAGCCTTTAAATCTTAATACACAAAATGTTCAGCATGGCAGTTGGTACTGTGTTTTTCCGTGTGTCACATACCAGGCAGAACTGTGTGTGTGTGTGTGTGCATCTATACACACACAAGTTTATACACTTATTTTTATACTTGGCATATAAACTTTAGTAGCAATATACTGAGCGTTGCCTTTGGGGAACAAAAGGAAAGTTGACTCAGTGCATTCTGCTGGAGTTGATGAACTGGGATTAAATGTTTGCAATAAGCCTGGAATCAGAATTGCCCTAGAAACTTTCAGATAAAATCCTTTGTCCCTCGCAGTTGGTCACCGCATTAATCTTTTGCGGAATTTCTCACATCTGCATCGAAGCCTGCAGGGGGAATTTTTATGGGGATAATTCCCTCTTGTCAGCTGGGGAGTTGCAGACTCCAAAGTCCGCGTTGGCAGCTCGGCTGGTGTGCAGTGTCTGTGGTGTGAGTCCAGACTTGTCTTTCCAGCAGCCACCTGGGAAACGATTTCCTGCTGGGCTAATTAACGCGAATCATGGCCTTCTCTTACCTTCCCCATTTCATGTTTCACGAGAAATTGCTCTGTTAGAAATGTTGGTCAGAAGGAGTCTAGACTGAGACCCCTAGGCCAAACTCACCATGTGAGCAGACACAGCTGTGGGCAAGGCAGCTCTGGGAGAAAAGGGAAGAGCATGTTTTGAGTTCCCCCAATTTATTCTTCTCTGACCTTAGGCGGAGAACGCAACAAAGCGATTCCAGGCAAAAGGAGCTTTTCGGGAGGGCTGGAGGCAACATTGTTGCGCTGCCGGGAAGGAATACGTGCAAGCCCTAATTTTGTACCCTTCGATTGTGCATCTGTAACTTCCAGAAAAGATGTGCCAATGTGTTGCCACTTTTATTAATACCAATTACTTTTACAGTGAAGGCTTTACAGATAAGTGTGCTTTCTCCATCTTTCTTGGAGTTCTGCCTGGGAAATTTGATTGTTCCTTTGGCCTTGTGCCTTCTTTTTCTTGGACTTTTTTCATCTGTGAGAGGGGGGGACACGTCCCACATACCCTCATGCAGCTTGCTGTGAAGAAGGCCATCTATCTCGAAGCAGATGGTCTTGGCATCTGTCTTGCACAGAGTTTATAATCGTCCTCGGTAAGATGGAGCTGCTCAGTCTTTGCCCTCATTACAAGAACAAATACCTAAATTACTGTACATCCAGAAAAGTCCAAGATTGCCTTGTAAAAAGCCAATTTTTAGCAACAGGCAGATGTTCAATATACGCAGTTTAACACTGTGGTTTTTAAAGGCTGATTTAAAGAGAGAGCTCTGCAGATCTGACAGCCCAGTAACACAGTGTACTTCCCGTCTTTCTACCAGCTGGTCATTACAAAACCCTGCTCCTCTGCGCTAGGAAGACTCCATATGACAGCAGCCTGCATGAGGGGAACACGTGGAGAGCGGAGGAGGGAGGGGAGTTTTGCTTGGAAGACTTTAAACACTTGAACCTGTACACCAGAAAAAATCCGTTTCCAAGGAAGTTGATCCTCTGGAGACTACTTAAGGATTTACTACTGTAGATTGACTTGACTTCACTAGCATACACTCAAAATTTGTGTCTCACATCTTGCAGGAAAATATGTCTTTTCTGTCTGGCTTGCTGATTTAAGAAAAAAAAAAAAAGATACACCACAGGTGTCTTGCAGCACTCAGAGAAGACTGCTTGTGGCAGGGTTATGGTTGCAGAAGCTCCTTGCAGAGTTTAAAGCTTTTAGAAACAAGTTGCAATGCCTTTCAGTGGGGAAGGGACCTATAAATTTGCCAGCTACACTGGAAGTTTGGTCTCAGACCTGTTTGTAGTATGATAGAACATTTAAAATGTGTTAAATCCTAAAGCACTGAGCCTTTCTGGGTCACTCTAGATATCTGAAGGTGGATGCACGGGTGGGATTCACGCTGCTTGGTTTTGATTCAGAAATGGAACTTCAAATATAGGTGGGGAAAATACCAGCTGCAGTGCAGGAGCATTTTGATTACTTACAGAATTTTTGTACTGTGTACACCACAGAACTTTGCTGCATTGGTGTTCACATCTGAGGTGGTGGTTTTATGCAGTGCAAAGCAGGCTCATGTTTTCTCCTTGCATAACGTCCTGCCCATCAGGATAAGCCATGTAGCATCGCCTGTCTCTGCAAAGGTCTCTTTCTGAACCAGCTGAAATGCTTCACAACAGGGCAAGTCAAACTCTGACAGGAACAGGGACTTCTATTGAAGGGTAGAACTCCACTCATCATCACAGGCCGTTCCCTTTGAGTGCCAGGCCTTCCCTGCACATGCTGCCCCTGAAAACCAGCAGCAGGAGGCAGGGATAAATGTGTCTCTGGATGTGGGTCAGCTCTGAACTTCCACCGGCACTAAACCAGGTCTGCACTGACTACAATTAAAGGTCACATTGTGACATTTGTTGTGTTAACAGGCAGGAAGAAATCAAGAGTGATTCCGAACCAAATAACCCTGGGGATCCTTTTAAGGGCAAGGGAGCGGCTAACAAAGCTCACAAAATCAAAGCTTCTGAATGAACCAGATGGTGTCAGTTGTTGAATAATTCACCAGGGAGAACGTGTGCTATTTCTTCAGGTGTGCTACCGGGCAATATGTCTTCTTGGCATCTGCCAGGGACGGCCAGACATATGTTCCCTTTACGCTTCCTCCGATCTTTCACAGTTGAGAGGCGCTGATGAAGAACAACACAAGTCACCGATGGGATCAAAGCCTGGGGCCAGAAGTGCATGTGATAAATACTGGAGTGCAGGAGGAGGTCAGACCTTTGGTCAAATTTTGGAACATCCAAGGAAGTCAGTGTGGCATTTGGAAAGGGACCAGTTCCCCTGGAGAAGAGCGTTAGCATCCTAATACATCTCCCTCTGTGCTGCCATGGATTCCCTACAGAAAGCCCATGTTGCACCATTAACAGTGGTGGTTTGGGAGATTCA